GAACACATGGTGGCATGTAAATATGATGGTACAGTTGAACACATGGTGGCATGTAATTATGATGGTACAGTTGAACACATGGTGGCATGTAATTATGATGGTACAGTTGAACACATGGTGGCATGTAATTATGATGGTACAGTTGAACACATGGTGGCATGTAAATATGATGGTACAGTTGAACACATGGTGGCAGTAATTGTTATTGAACAGAGAGAAAGAGACAGACAGACAAACAGACAGACAGACAGACAGACACACCACCTCCTTGTCTGTTTCTGCAATCGTGGTTGTCCTGACTGCAAGTGTCAGTCAGACATAAAAGAGACAGACTTGAACAGGACAGCACTTAACGATGTCATGTCTGTCGAATGGGAGACAGTCGACGTCTTCGCTTCCAGTTATCATTACGTTAATGTAGATGCCGTCTTGTGTATGCGTCTATGTCAAGGTGGGACTATTACTAACAATGTTACCTTAGTTTTATCTTGATTTTTGTAGAAGCTACAGATAAGGGCTTCAGAATCTGCAGGAGCCTTGAACAATTCCAGTTTTTCGATTTCTATTTCATGTATTTTAAATGTAGCTATTTCTAAGTATATTCTCAAAATTGTCTGCGCTTAGCATCATGTGTATGCATAGCGATACATGCTGCAGAAGATCGCAGATTATGGAGAGGCATGATCGCCCACGTCAGTCGGCAAGGCACCTGATGATGATGCTGCATTTCTTTCAACTGTTTCAGTCCCAAAAGCTTTTACTAAAATATGTTTACAATTTCTAACTGGGTGCACTTTAGAGTTCCAATCTTTCAATCTTATCAAGTCAAAATAGTACAAGTATGTGCCAGAACAAGTCAAAGTAACGCTAGGGCACAGTGAGTTAACATTACAAAATACTAATCCAGAGGAAGTTACAAAACCTTTACCATAAAAAGAGTCGCAAACAACGTATGCTGAGTTCCTAGGTACTGACGCAGGTAATGAGAATCAACAATTCTGAATTTTTTCTGCACAAACATTCTTGTAATGAGTTACTTGCTCTGCTACTTTGCATTTCCCTGGAATTTGATAAGTTCCTGTAACCTGTCCATATATAACTGTTAGTTAGTTAGTTAGTTAGTTAGTTAGTTAGTTAGTTAGTTAGCTAGCTAGCTAGTTAGTTAGTTAGTTAGTTAGTTAGTTAGTTAGTTAGTTAGTTAGTTAGCTAGTTAGTTAGTTAGTTAGTTAGCTAGTTAGTTAGTTAGTTAGTTAGTTAGTTAGTTAGTTAGTTAGTTAGTTAGTTAGTTAGTTAGTTAGTTAGTTAGTTAGTTAGTTAGTTAGTTAGTTAGTTAGTTAGTTAGTTAGCTAGTTAGCTAGTTAGTTAGTTCAGTTCAGTTAGTTAGTTAGTTAGCTAGTTAGTTAACTAGTTAGTTCAGTTAAGTTCAGTTAAGTTAGTTAGTTAGTTAGTTAGTTAGTTAGTTAGTTAGTTAGTTAGCTAGCTAGTTAGCTAGTTAGCTAGTTAGTTAATTAGTTAGTTCAGTTCAGTTAGTTAGTTAGTTAGCTAGTTAGTTAACTAGTTAGTTCAGTTAAGTTCAGTTCAGTTAGTTAGTTAGTTAGTTAGTTAGTTAGTTAGTTAGTTAGTTAGTTAGTTAGTTAGTTAGTTAGTTAGTTAGTTAGTTAGTTAGTTAGTTAGTTAGTTAGTTAGTTAGTTAGTTAGTTAGTTAGTTAGTTAGTTAGTTAGTTAGTTAGTTAGTTAGTTAGTTAGTTAGTGGACAGAGTATCCTAGCTGCACAATAAGTCATTCAGTCCATAGATGCTTAGATCCCCTCCTTAGACAATCCCGCAGCGTGCAATAGCTGATGACACCAGTCTTATGTCAGTTTCTTATTCTTCTGTATCTTCCTGCATAGTGCTCTTGTCTGGACACACCTCTTTTAACATGTTGTTCTTTCAGTCTGGTCATGATTGCAGATTCACAGTCATTGCCTGGTTCTCGCAAATGTCTTATTTCTCTTAGAGCATTCAGATACAGTATATTGGAATGGTCCATGGCACGACCTCCCGCCACGGTAGCTTTACCTACAAGCCGATCAGCTTGCTCATTTCCTTGCACCGTTTTTAAAAATATCTTTAACAAATTTTAAATATCCAGAAACAATGAGTTCTTAACCCTTTGACTGAGTACCTCAGATATCGCAACCCTTAGGTCTTGATTCCATGATAAATACCGCAAATGTGGGAGAAATGTGGCTTTTTTGCCTATTCCCGGGCGTGAACCCGGACCATAAGGAGTTCGTCACCTGTGGTCGCCAAGTCAGGTTTAGCCAGCTACGCTAGAGAGCCGGGCGTGTGCCTTATCAAAGTTTTATCTATCATTTAGTTTCTACCGAAGTTTTCTGTCATTAGTTTCTACCAAAGTTTTATCTGACATTTAGTTTCTACCAAAGTATATCTATCCTTTAGTTTCTAACAAATTTGTATCTATTATTTAGTTTCTGTCAAAGTTTTAGCTATCATTTAAGTTCTATCAAAGTTTTTACACAGTAAATTAGTTGCTGACCTGTGCAATTAGAATTAACATATGACCTCGTCAGCGTTGAATTATCAGCTAAATAAGCTGCCTCTTAGGGCCTCACAATATGGGGCCTCACAATATGGGGCCTCACAATATTAAGGGCCCTTAAAATTTCAGTTTTTGCTCATTCGTGCAATTTTCTCATAATTTGTATTAAATGCAAGATTCTTGTAAAGTATTGAACAATAGTCCTCAGTTACCACCATGCGTGTAGAAAGCAACATGTCCCTTCACGTCACACTCAGTGATTCTGCATTTAGGAAATCAAAGGGGCAATATTTTAACCTATAATTTGCAGACTTTTAGAGAATTAAATGATATAATATCTGTGATTTTGCAAACATTTTTGACCATTTCTTGTAATAAAAATTAAACGACAGTACGTTTCAATTATCCAAATAATTCAGACGTGCGTATTTTAGGATTTTTTGAGATTAGGTAGTGATTTTAAAAGGGTAGGGGCCTCAAGGTTTTATATACTGGAGGGCGTCACTAAGTCTCAATACGGCCCTGTATACAGTAATGGTGGCAGAAATTTCTTGTGTTTGTACGGGCTGAAAAGGACACGTGATGAAGTTATGGCCAGAATCAACATCACAAAGCTATAGGAATTCCTTTAAGTGTTCGGTCCGCATGCTCAGCAGACATCTTAGAGTTCCGATTCTGATGGCACTAACAACTGTCTGTCTGTCTGTTTGCCTGTCTGTGTGTCTGCCTGCCTGTCTGCGTGCCTGCCTGCCAGCCTGTCTGTCTGTCTGTCTGTCTGTCTGTCTGTCTGTCTGTCTGTCTGTCTGTCTGTCTGTTTGTCTGTCTGTCTGTCTGTCTGTCTGTACGTCCATCTTGTCTTGACTTCTCTGGGAACTGGGGAGAAGGGGGAAAGGGGGGGGGGGGTGTGGGGATGTAGAAAACTATCATAAAGAGTATTTAAATAGATTGTGACAAACTGTCATTTAGTTGTTGATAGTCAGGACGTGACATGTAGGCCACGTGCCCGCCAATCATTGGGGTACTTCACACACATGGGGGAGATTGACCTGATATGTATAGTTTCATGTTTCACATTAAATGTGGGTGGGTGGGTGGGTGGGAGAGCGGGCGGGTGGGTGGGTGGGTGGGTGGGTGGGCGGGTTTGGGGTGGGTAGGCGGGTAGGCGGGTAGGTAGGTGGGTAGGTGGGTAGGTACGTAGGTAGATGGGTGGATAGGTAGGTAGATGGGTGGGTAGATGGGTGGGTGGGTGGGTAGGTAGGTAGATGGGTGGGTAGATGGGTTGGTGGATGCGTGGATGGGTAGATAGAAAGAAAGATAGAAGGGTAGATAGAAAGAAAGATAGAAGGGTAGATAGAAAGAAAGATAGAAGGGTAGATAGAAAGAAAGGTAGAAATGTAGATAGAAAGAAAGATAGAAGGGTAGATAGAAAGAAAGATAGAAGGGTAGATAGAAAGAAAGATAGAAGGGTAGATAGAAAGAAAGATATTCTTTAGGTTCCTTATAAAAACTATATTTCTATCGGGAGTCAGTGGCTTTCAACATGATAGACAGGCACACAGACAAGACAGACAGACCGACACACAGACACACCGATAGACTGACAGACAGAACGAACGAACGAACTTTTTTTAAAAGGTTGAGAATTGGGCACGCAGACCCGTCTTTCATTCTGGCCTTCTCGCCACACTTCTTAAATGTTACTTGTGGCCTCACTTCTTACATACGTTATTCAAATCACATATCAGTTAGCACATAAATGCAGCGCCTCTACATTTAGAGTCGGCTCTATGGCTAAGTCGATGCGAACGCTTCGTAATGCCGGTTTGCCGGGTTTGATCCCAGCTGCGAGCCAAGCGCCTTGCGTTGGTTTCGACAGTGGTATAAAAAAAGCCAACCGTCCAGGAAACAATGGCAAACTACTGGACGTAAATTTGCCTAGAAAAACCACACAACAGCCAGGGGTTGTTGGGGTTGGTTCTGCTACGTCCTGTAAAGGAAACGCAACCTAAGTACATTTAAAACTAAAGCTCTTTCGTTCGTTCTCGATGCCAATAGCTGGGATATGCTCTAGTTACACCGAAATCTCTTTGAGGTAGTAATACTAAATATGGTAAATGTGATAAATCTGGGGAGGTAGTGGAAGAGGGAGGGGGGGGGGGGTGAGCGTTGTCATAACATGTATACCACTATTATCATTTACTAGGGCTTATAGTCTGTGCTTAGATAATATTCAAATAGAATTAGATTGTACGTATAAGGGATTACTGATATCTTTGATTGGCTGTGGAAGCTGGGTCTACAGATGAGCAGCGGAGTAGGCCAAGCTATTTTGGCATCTTAGATAAACAGACAGATATACAGTCAGACAGTTAGTTATATAAACATATGTTTGATGTTCCCTATATAGTCTATTCCCACTGCGACAAAAACTATTTCACAGACTCAGATTGGACACAATGAGATCTACACAAGCCAGACGTCTGTCCCTGTCTATTTCTGCATTCGCTGTTGTGCTGCTGGCAAGTGTCTGTCCGTGTCTGCTGTGTCAGACAGATGTGAAAGAGACAGACTTGTATAAGGCATTACTTAACGATGTCATGTCTGCTTTACTGAAAACAGTCGACTTCTTCGGTTCCAATTACCAATATGTCAATATTGACGCTGTGTTTGGTATGCGCCAATGTCAAGGTAAGACCTTCACTTGTTATATTTTTTGGTATTGTGACCATTACATCTGTAAAAATGGTTTAATCTTTGATCAGACGTCAGTTTTATCAACATTTTGTTGGAGGTGCCAAACGTGGACTTTATTTACAAAATGGAAAAAGGACAATCGAAGCAGACAAAGGTGCTTAAATAATATCCTACCCCAAATTGGGGAAATCCACATGTCACGGGACAGTCTAATATTTCAGGGGTCGGTAGATAGGCTGCATGCAGTCGTGGGACCTAGGCTGCATGCAGTCGTGGGACCTAGGCTGCATGCAGTCATAGGACCTAGGCTACACTCACTAGTGGGACTTAGATGGGTTGGTGTTAGGGCCAGTTCTAGATATTCTGGGGTCGTTAAAAGTATCAGAAAGCCGGGAAACCCAGTCCTAACACCCTCTAAAATGTTGGACTGTCCTGTGACTTAATCTGGGTTAGGATATTAACAAAACACCCAGACGAATTCTAAAAGTAACAAGAAGGTGGAAAACAGTTAGTTGCATGTCCTGTACAGAACGTTACAGACCCAGCCCAGACAATTTTGTGGGTGCTGTTTGTAATTTCACAAGACAGTGTTTACGTTCAGCTGTTTGTGATTTCATAAGACAGTGTTTATGTTCAGCTGTTTGTGATTTCACAAGGCAGTGTTTACATTCAGCTGTTTGTGCCTGCCCACGATACCGCAAAATTAGGCAGCGTAAGACGGTCTGCTGTCAAATCGCCCACAGCTCTAATCAAACCCAGGACTTAAGAACTACGAAGCGCGTTTGCAAAACCTAAAGCCACTGATGCCTACAATAAGAAGACGAAGGATAAGAAAGGACGACATCTGGAGACAATCCGGGACAGAACCAGTGCTCAACTACATTAGCAGATCAAATGGTTCGGACATGTATCAAAACTACCACCACAGAGAGTCCTGTCACTTAGACACTACGGCAACAGACCTAGAGGTCGACCAAGCTGGTAATAGATAGATGGAATGTCCGAGGCCATAAATACAAGTTTCTGTTTCTTCTAATTAAGTAGACATTTCATTTCTTGTGTGTTCAATTTTTTTAGTGAACAATTATATAGAAGCTGTGGAAATGTGGTTTTATAGACGAATAATGAGAATAGCATGACAGGTAACAACAAGAGTAATTAAGTCGTCTTGAAAGAAACTAAACCTACTCAGGAAGAGACCTGATAGCCCACATCAGAAGGAGACAATCTAATTATTTGGTCATGTCATGAGTAGGAGAACACTGGAGTACATCGTGTTGGGGAAGGGGGAGGGGGAGGAGATTGGAGGGGAGGTGAGGCAGAGAGAAGATACTGGACAGTTTGACGTCATAACATCCAAGTTTATACGTCAGAATCGGTTGAGAGTAGACGAGACAGAAGGTTGTGGATAGATACCACTACCAACGCCAGACGGCATGGATTTTAAGAAAAAGCTACAGGTAAAAAGCACAGTCAGTGTAAAATTGTAGGTTCGGCAAAAAATGTGAGAGTAACAGTACGAAGCAACAATGGGAACAACACTATCAACATACGTCTGCTGCAGGAGACGGAACACCTGTGGGTGTGCCCTTTGTATTGTGAAACTGACTTTGAGCAAATCAATTAGATCAAAGCAGATATTGTCACATTTCGAGATCATGTTTCAATAACTTCCCCACAGGTAGTCTGATTGGGGTCTTAGAAGACTGTGAACAGAACAAACTTGTTTGCCCCCAGGAACTGAGGCAGGAAATCGCCTCCATGATTGAAAGACTTAACGACACAACACGACAGGCTAACGTCTACACGGAGGTTAGTTTTTTTAAATTCTTTGCTGTGCTCTGAACATGTCAGTTCTTCACCATCTGAATACCGAGAAAGGAGGTGGGGTGGGGGGGGGGGGGGGGGGGGGATGGCTCGCAGAGAGTATTATTCTTCGTTGAGGTACAGTGCTGCAGATGTCACCTGTAATCTTGGTATTTTCACACGGGGACTCCCTGTGAAAGAATGTGAGGGGGAAACCTCGAAATGCAACAGAAAAAAGGGATAAGGCAAATACTCGTAGAAACACGAGGTACCGGAGCAGGGTAGACGAGCACATGAAGCCACTTGGAACCCAGCACAAGATGATAAGATTAGACAAAAGTCCTAAGTCAGAAAGTATGTGCTTGCCAGCCGGAGCGAAAGGGTGTACCTGAGATTCAGCGTGAATGTAACAGTGTATTTGGCGACGTGAGGAGTTCTTTTCTGAGAAAAGACAACAAGATGACAGCCTGACAACGATCTGACCCGTAGTGGCATCCAACCAATTCCAATTGCTCAAGAAGTCGAACCACCATGCTTAGAACTGTTAGAGCAACCAAGGCGTGTATTCTGAATGTGAGGAAAGAGGACTGAGAGGTACTGAGTGTGAACGAGAGAATACTCCAAGTTGATATCTGAACAATGTCATGTAATGCTGGACTTGCTAGTTCGTAGACGACACTGGCTGGACAAATGGTGTGTGAACTTGTAATAAAGTATATTAATGAGATCTCGTCTTCTCGTACCACCTGTGTCTACTTAGAGTGTCAATCATGTCTTCAAAAAGAACAAACCCCTGGAAACCAGCTAAGACACGGAGGAGACAATATGACATCACCCTGTAACTAGCAGTTTCTGTCTGGTATTTACAGGGACAAAATGAGGTACGCTTTTCCGTGTTCAAGGAATTGATGCAGAAACCGTTCGTCGTCAAATATATCCCAGAAAACATCAGCAGTGTCGTTGAAGTCAGTGTCCCGTTCAGCGTCTATAAGGGAGAACAAGGAGATGCGTGTCTTGTCAATCTCATGGGATTTGAGTTGTTGGGCGGGTAAGCTCTGCGTTGCTTGCTCATTGACAGTCTGCTATTATGGTTTTCTAAATGTTTTGTTTATTTCTGTATCTCAGTGGTCTCTAACCAGTGAGTCCCGTCCTCCCCCCGCCCCCACTATGAGGCGTGGGGAGAGTTTTTGTTTTTGGTTATTTCCATTTTTATTTGGCACTTCGATTTATATGGATGTTTGTTGTTGTTGTTGTTGTTGTTGTTGTTGTTGTTGTTAACAGTGCATGGTATTTTTTCTTTTCCTTCTATTTTTAATTTAATTTCGTTACGCTTAAAAAAAAAAAAGGTAAAAAAAAAAAGGGGGGGGGGGGGAGGGGGACAGAACGACGCAGCCTGAAAAAAGTGGCTCTATTCAATACATGTCAAACTCTTTACTCTTGGTTTCTAGACAATATATTCGATAGCATGTAGAAAAGAGATAGCGGCTTCGATAGTTGAAAAATGACAAAAAGAGAGATAGAGACACTACACAGGGGCTGCCAGTGAAACAAAAATAGAGGCAGAGGGGAGAGGGAGAGAGAGAGAGAGAAAACAAAAGAGAGACAGGCAGACCAAGGTAGTCTTCGTCAGTTCCATAACCATTGTCCAGCACATGCACCAAAGTTGACAACACAGAATCGCCAAGAAAGCGGCTGTGCGCTACTGAAAGAGACATTTAATAAGTAAAAATGGGGATGTTGAGGGCTTTCTGTGAGCGACGCTTCTCAATTACAACCCAAAACACTAGCTTCGTATCTCCAGTGACGATCTCTTGGTATTTCGGGGAAAAGGAGGTTGGGATGGGGACTAGACCTACACGAGTTCATAAACAAATCATCATTATAACAAGTAATATGTGCGATAGCTGAAACATCCATGCTGTAATGATAATTATCACTGTCAGAGCCGTGCCGAGGTGCACTGTCAGTGACACATGTCGGTGGTTCATGACACGGGACGGATCTGGATACTACTATCTGACACACCAACTGCTTTATCTGATGATTGCTGAACAGGTGAGTGGCCCCTAACTGCTCTATCTTGTGTCTGTATGTCCATCCGACCGTCAGTTATTCGTTCCATCAATCCTCTAATGTATCAGTCTATCTATCCATATATCCGTCTGTCCTTTCATCCACCAACCCACGTACCTATCCATCCATCCATTATCCATCCACCCATGCCCCTATCTGTCCATCCCTTTATTAATTTACCCATTCATCTGTCTGTCCTTCCATCTACCCACCCATGGATTCATCCATCCATCCATCCAGTCATCCACTCAATCACCTATTAAGCTATGCATCCATCCTCGTGTCAGTTTTTTCTTCCCACTATAGACTCCTGTCTTGTTGCATGTCTATATACAGAAAGTCAAAAACACAAATGATCCATTACGCCCATAAACGCCCTGTTCGTACCAACTCTGTGCTATCAGTGCCAGACATGGACAATCATAGAAAAACATAAACCAAAATTACAACATGTGAAATGAGATGTATAAGAAATAATGAGGGAAAAACCAGAAGAGACCGTCACCAATAAAGAACTAAGAACAAAAGTAGCAACAGTGCTGATAAATGATTTTATAGAATATCAACGAATCAAGGAGTCTGGTAATTCAGTCAGAATGGAAGAAAATGTGTCAGCAGTTGGAGCTTACTTCATGAGAGCAGTAGGTTACAAGGCAAGAGGTCGACCAATGAAGACATGGGTGGAGTAAGTAAATGAGACACTACAGAAATGCAGAATGACATTAACAGAAACTACGCAATTAGCAAAAGATAGGAAAGTACATCTAACTCCTCCGTGTAACGCCTTTAAGCATAACCAATGGGACAACAGAAAAAGAATAGGACATTGTGTCTATTATCCGCTGCTGAAACGAAATTATAATTTTTTTGAGAAAGATCGACAAAGGACAGAACCGAAAATGGCAGATACAGCAGAAAATCGCGCAAAGGAGGAGGAGAACCTTCAGAAAGTTCACCTATAGGGGTGTTGATCTTGATCAGCTCATGGGTATGTCAATGGATCAGCGTGTAGACTTGATCCACTGCCGACAGCGACGTCGCCAAATCCGTGGTTTGAAGAGCAGACCTTTGGCTTTGATGAAGAAACCGAGGAACGCTCAAATGAATCCTGGACCTCTTGGAAAACCAGAGGTAGTCAAGACACATATGCATGACATGATTCCTGGGATGATTGCATCCATTGTTGGTGTCTACAACGGACAAACCTGCAACCAGGTGGAGATCAAGCCTGAGATGACTGGACACTACCTGGATGAGTTCTCCCTCACATACAAGCCGGTCAAGCACGCTTGCTCCGGTATTGGTGCCACACACTCTTCCAGGCTTATTCCACTAAAGTAAATGGTTGAATAAAGTGACTGTATAAGTTAAAAAAAAAAAAACACACACACACATATTTTATCATAGGTGCAACACTTCCTTACAAACAGTATCCTCAAGTGTACCTTCCATACAGGTTGGGTGTGAGAGTAAACTAGAACAAGAGATCCTCCGAAACACGGGCGTGACTACAAGAGACTTCCAGAGACATCTGTGTGAGAAGATCTACTGCAACATCCGGAATTTATCCCTGAACGGAACCGTCGACTCTGAGATGCAGGATCTGTTTCTTGAGGAAAGTAAGCCACTTGTCTTGTCCTGCTTTTGTTTCAAAACAATGTTTTCCTGCGGTGAATTTAAATAACGTAAACAAATAATTCTAAACATAAAGGAGAGCTGCTGGGTTTTACAATAACACACAATCAAGAATAGCAAGACTCTAGCTAGAAAGAAAGCCTACAACACACACAGACAATAAGATACATATATGAAAGAATTCAGTTTAGCGATGAGTCATCGAAATCTTCATCAAAGCTTGAAAAACAAACAAGTATATTGATAATTTATTGCCTGGCATATTTCGCTGTACATCTTCAGGTCAATATAACATCAACATATAGTAATGCCTACATTCAGGCCTTTTAAAGGAAAAAAGTAACTCATATAGTTTGTGGCTAGACTGTGCTTCACCATGAAAGTCTAAGATTAACAACGTGATCCTTTTGTTAACACAACGAGGGGTTGACAATTTATATTATATTAAAACTGCTCTGGCATACTTCTTTATTTTTATTAGGTTTTTAAAATGAAGAAATGTATGATATAATTTTTTTTTTTGCTCGCTTAAACATATACCTGTTTGCAATTCCGAGATAAATGAATGAATCAAGAACTGACTGAATTCAGAAAATGTCCACAAGTGCACTGTCGTAGCAGCCAACGAAAAGACGATATGAAGGACCAAGTAATCGTTGTAGCCTGAGTAAAAGTCTGCCTATACCCCCCCCCTCCCCCACCTCTTCCCCCACCTTTCCTCCAGTATTAAATATGTTCTAGATTCTAGATCTCCTCACATCCTGGTGAATTACTTTTTCCAAGTTATAGATATTCTATGCTATTGTATTGTCCACTTGATCCTAGAAAGCCTTCACTATGTCTGTTTTGTTTTAAAGTAGTTCACTACCAAAAGGATTGCCCCGCACACCTGAATATCTTAGACCGAAAATCAAGGAGATGCTCTTGATATCAGTCTTATCCAACCACTGTACGCGTATAACGCAGTTTCTTTTTTCCGAACGATGCTCTGCGAGTCCGTGAGTTCATATTGTAATTGTAGCCCACTTGCGAGTCTGTAGTTCATGTTGTAATTGTAGCGGACCTGGGAGTCTGTGAGTTCATGTTGTAACTGTAGCCCACTTGTAAGTCTGTGAGTTTATGTTATAATTGTAGCCCACTTGCGAGTCCGTAAGTTCATGTTGTAATTGTAGCCCACTTGCGAATATGTGAGTTAATGATGTGATTGTAGCAGAATTGTGAGTCCGTGAGTTCATGGTGTAATTGTAGCCATATACATGTCTGTGAGCTCATGTTGTAATTGTATCCCACTTACGAGTCCTGAGTTCATGTTGTAATTGTAGCGGATATTCCAGTCCGTGAGTTCATGTTGTAATTGTAGCGGATATTCCAGTCCGTGAGTTTATGTTGTAGTTACTGTGACTCATTGCCCCAACAGTTGCATTCTGTGGTATGCTGGGCTTCCAGAACTTCTTCAACGAATCCTGGATCCCACTGATCCTCGACTGGCAGACCCCGCAGGGTTGTTTCACCTCCCCAGAGGCACGTGACAAGTTACAGAAGTTGGCTACTCAAGGACGAACCAAGTTCATTGCTATACAAAAACTTTTGTAAGAGTTTGTTATTGTTCATTCACTCATTTGTTTACCCATTTATTTGTTTGCTCATTCATTTGTGCAGCTATCATATGTTCAGCGCCCGTCTCTCTAGCGTAGTTGGCTAAACCGAATTGCGCGGTGAGCGGGTGACGAACTCCTTGTGGTCCGGGTTCACTCCCAAGGGTGGGCAGAAAAGCCACATTTCTCACAGATTTACGGTCTTCAAAATGGAATCAAGGCCGAAAGGTTGCGATATCCATAATACCGAGCCTAAGGGTTAACAACTCATGGCTTCTGGATACTAAAACAAACAAGCAAACAAACATCATATGTTCAGCCAGTCATTTGTTCACCCGTTTGTTTGTGCAACCATTCATATGTTCAGCCATTCATGTGTTCACTCATTCATGTGTTCAATAACTTATGTGTTGACTCATCCATGTGTTCACTCATTCATGTGTTCACTCATTCATTCACTAACTTGTTTCGTTCAGGTACGCTTGTCTGATTTTAAATGGTTGCAGTTATAAAACATCAGTGTGGGAGAGGGGGCATTTCACTTTTTGTTGGGGGTGTGGTTATCTCAATGGATCTTATTCCTTTATATAATTACGTTTAAAAATTGAAGATTAAAAATAAAACAGATTTTTTAAATATTTGGGCGCAGTAGAAAAAAACAATTGTCTATAGAAATAAAATAAAGGGAAAAAAAGCATTTTTTCGCAACAGAGGATTAACAGCACAATGAAGCGATGGGAGCACCTGCGAGCTGAGGCTAAACAGCACAAAGAACCGATGGGAGAGCACCTGTGAGCCGAGGCTAAACAGAACGAAGAACCGATGGGAGAGCACCCGCATGCTGAGGCTAAACAGAACGAAGAACCGATGGGAGAGCACCTGCGAGCTGAGGCTAAACAGAACGAAAAACTTATGGGAGAGCACCTGTGAGTTGAGGCTAAACAGAACGAAAAACTTATGAGAGAGCACCTGTGAGCTGAGCTAAACAGCACAAAGAACCGATGGGAGAGCACCTGCGAGCTGAGGCTAAACAGCACGAAGAACCATTGGGAAAGCACCAGCAAGCTGAAGCTAAACAGCACGAAGAACCACTGGGAAAGCACCAGCAAGCTGAAGCTAAACAGCACGAAGAACTGATGGGAGAGCACCTGTGAGCTGAGCTAAACAGCACAAAGAACCGATGGGAGAACACCTACAAAAGGGATGTAAAGTAAAACTGCTGAGATCACGCATCTCCGCATGCCAACTTATGGCTGTGAGTCATCGACTTGTGCTCATTCTTTGGAGAAAAAAAAAGTGAATCTTGTGAACTTCTTCTTCTTATTTTGTGTTCACGTGCTGTAACTACGGCAGAAAGTTCTGATTATTCATCCACCTCAGGACTTTAGTCTTGTTCCAGAACCTGAATGTTGCGTGTACATTCGTTTAACAGATCTGGATTATAACCAGACTAAATAATTCCTTGCATCTCAGGCAGGTCCACTCCAACCTCGAAAAAAGCTCCTAACTAGTCGACTCCTACTTGTCTTTGGGTAGGCAGTGGGTCTCATCTTGTTTCCCACCCCTCTCCCACCCCTCTCACACCCCTCTCCCACCCCTCTCCCACCCCGATGTGGCCCTGGAACTCACGCGGAGATCTTTTGAAATCAATGTTACAGGGAAATAACCCATCCACTCCTGCCTGTCAGTAAAGTAGTAAAGTAAAGGACCGTTTTCCACGCCCTTTAAGCATATAGGGCTAGACCTACATTTTTTATAGACGAATCGGCACAAGATGGGTGATGTGGTCAGCATCACGCCAGCCGCCTTTACTTCACGGAACTGCAGCCGGTACCCACTCAAAGCTGGGTCGACCTGGGAGCCAAGGACATTTTTGAAAATAGTCTGGCTTCTTCAGGGAGCGAACCCACGACTTTCCAGAATTGACATCACAGCACTCGGGGCATTTCTATGCGCGCTCTGCCCTCATCTTCAGCAGCCGGCGCATATTTTTAATACCGATAGTACCGGTCGCAATCTGGTTATTTGTCCGTCTTTCCTTTCCTCTGAGTGTAGTGAGCGGGCCAGACCCTCTGGTTACACTCAGGTGCCCCATTCTCTCCAGGCCATAATTCAGAAAACGTAAGAACTAAATAACTAGAAAGTCTTTGCACTGGAACCTATAGGCACACAGAAATAAGGGCAGACCAAAAGACACACACACAAATACACGAAGAAGAGAGATAGAGAGTGAAGTTAAACAGATGGGGGAGAGGGGGACACAAGAAGTCAGCTGTCTGAAATAGTGAAGACAACAACAGCTTGGGGGAGTTGGTTGAGAGTCTATGCTCTATCTGGAGATAGAAGGCGGAAAACGGTTTTAAGTATCAGGCCCTGACCACACTATAGGCGCATCAGGTATGTGGTGCTAACCCTTTTGGTTTTACTAACTAATGATCTCTTGTTGAGTTACGTGATCCCTAATACGCCGGTCGCCTTTACTCCCTGTATATTTCCTGGTATGACTCATCATAGCGTTTCGTTTTCTCCATATCACCACACAGAGCCACGCACTACAAAGGTCCACTGTACGTGGAGTTTACTTTAATCTTTGTCCCAGTTCGTGTGGGTGCTGTTGTAGATTTGGACTGGCTCTTCTATACTTGTCGGCTCTGTGGCTAAGTCGATGCGAACTCTTCATAATGCCGGGATGCCGGGTTCGAGCCAAGCTGCGGGCCATGCGCCTTGCGTTGGTTTCGACAGTGATATCAAGGAAATTCGACCGTCCAGAAGCAATGACAAACTACTGGACATAAATTTGCCTAGAAAAACCACACAACAGCCAATAGCTGTTTGGGTTGGTTCTGCTACGTCCTGTAAAGGATACGCAACTAACCTTCTATACTTGCCTATAGCCAACACAATGAACGCGCCGACATTGTAAAGGCCCTTTGAAGTGCTGCTAAGAATGATGCACCAACTAGTAGTAAAGATGGGTATCGCCAACCATGAGAGGTACATCGGATCTAGGAAAAGTTTTGCCAACTAGCATAAGACCGACAATGTTAACGGCGGGACGCTGATGTATTTGATAGGCGCATGTGGGAGAAGTCTGAGGACCAGTAGACGTGTCCAGAGTGCAGTGAAGACAAAATAACTAGTAACCTAACTAGCAACGAATCAAGGCCTACAGTGTTGGATGGCAGCGACTCTAACCAGCAAGCAGTTATATTGTATACCGTATTTAGTGTTCCAGTATTTCTTGTGCACATATCAATGTGCTAATCTTGTTATTTGTTACTTTCAAGCGAACATGCCAAGTTCAGGTCGAAGAGAACTGAACAGTTGATGCTTGGTGAGTATAAGGTTTTGTTCATATGATAGAATCTTTGAATGAACTGAATTTCTAGAACCATCTTGGTTTTTTTCAACACTAGCATCGCCTCCACTGCCTTTTTCTAGTCTTCCTAAACATCACTGACCTCTTCCTTTAGTTTCTTCTCCAGTTTTCTCTGGCTGTGCCTTTTTTTTTTTTAAATTACCTTTCGCCGTTTCTTTTTCCCCCCCCCCTTTTCCTACGCTGTTTCTGTTGTTGCTGTAAAGGTGATGATGATGATATTTCGACTATTTTTGCTTCACCACTTTTTTTTTTAAAACCTGTAATTCTATTCTTCTAATTCTTTCCCTCCTCTGTCTTCTTTAGTTCCTCTTTCGTGTTCTGTCTCTCATTTCTGATGGTGCAAATGTTCTTAACCAAATCACTCCAGTTCTCTGTACTCGTGATTTTAATTAGCTTCTACGGTTTTATACCAACCAGGTAGTCATTCTCGTGCCAACGTAATTTTATCGCATCCTACGACACACATTGAAGACTACCGCTCATTGTTTTCATCGCCAACCTGCTCGGGCACTGAGTCGTGAATCGTGTACTGAACTGAGTATTTTCAAATAGGTATATTGCTAATCTTCTTCTTCTTCTTCGATCCTTCTCTCACGAGGTAAATTAATAATGATTCCGCCAATCTCTTCCTCAGACGGATGCCTGTCACATAAAACGGGTGTGGCCATCGCTGCTATGGGAGCATATATAAGATACTTGGTATCTAGAGTGTACGGGTAAACCTAACTTCAGCATAAATGAGCGCGGCTGAAATTGAGAGTTTTCCCATTCCATGGAGCGGCAGAACTGTTGCTGCACTCTTTTCTTGTGGAGAACAATAAAGTGTATCCTTCTAGATATGGATTTTTCAGTCTTGTAAAATAATTGTTTCAGTACTAAACGTATTTATGGCCTAATATTAAGTGAAAACAAATCAAAGAGCACTTTCTACGTTATTTGGCACATAATGCTATAACCATAATCATCATTAAGTGCCTTGCCGACTGGCATGGGCGATCATGCTTCTCCAGTCTGCGATCATCAGTTCCTATGTTCACAATCCTCCATGCCATAACAAAAGACTGCCAAGAATCTTTTTCTGGTTGCTTTCCTATGTCTCTCTTTCCACGTTTTTTTCCGGTGGCCACAACTTGTTGCATTTTCCTTCTCATAACATGATTTAAAAAAAAAAAAAAAAAACTTTTTTTTGATATTTGTGATAAGTTGTTTTCGAGCCCTCAACTCTTTCAGAACATCTTGGTTGTTCTTTTCTGCTGTCCTAAAAATGCTAAGGATTGTTCTAGCCGGTGCTATTGTTTTGTGGCGGCACGCAACCGATTGTGTGCAGTAACACCGGGGGAAAGGGTGTGTGTGTGTGTGTGTATGTGTGTTTGGGAGAGGGGGGGGGGGGTTTCAGTTAGCACGGGTACCTCTTCAAAGGTAAAAAAAGTCCTGGCTACAGTTATTATTAAAATAAATTCATTGGATATTTGTATAGCACAGACAGAGCCCCGTTGTTCTGTTCCTGCAGCTTCTGCAGCGTAATTTTTCCATTAGTGGTGTTACCTTTCCTCTGGAATAAATAAGACAGGGCATGAGATAGAGGTATGTGTTATGATAAGGGGTGAACTTCATTTCTATAGAACTGTCGTCTAGAAGAAAGGAAAAGTACCAGCATAGCATAATCAGTTTCACGCCGGCCGCATGTACTTCCCAAACAATTTTTCTAACGTGTATTAATGGAGGTACACGTATCTGGTCCTGTGTTTATAGTTAGAAACTACACCGACAACAAGACATTTGTTGAGAGATATACTGAGCTGTCTACACGTTTAGTTATTTAGTTAGTTGGGTTATCATCATTGCACTCCGGACATGTCCATAGGTGCTCAGATTCTCCCCTCAGTACGAACCCTAACGTCCGATGGCTAATAGTACCAGTTCTATGTTGATTAAAAAGTTTTCTGGCGTGTCTGGTGTGCGTCTACACGTTTAGAATGAGTGCACTGTAGTGCGCTTCTCTTTATGACAGCAGGATGTAGGATAGGGTGGGTGTGAAGATATCGGAGTGCTGAGCAAGAATGTGTGCTAACAACAGTTCCTGATAAATGTGTACATAGACTGTAATTTTCATCTCTGGTCAAATTCTTAACTTTACAGCAATGACTGTGTTGTTTGGTAAACATCAGGTGTTCGCATGGACATATTTGGTGTTCAGATGGAAACATCAGGTGTTCACATGAGGACATGAGGTGTTCACATGAGGACATCAGGTGTTCACATGAACACATCAGGTGTTCACATGAGCACATCAGGTGTTGACATGGAAACAATTGGTGTTCACATGAGGACATGAGGTGTTCACATGAGAACATGAGGTGTTTACATGGAAACAATTGGTGTTCACATGAGGACATGAGGTGTTCACATGAGGACATCAGGTGTTTTCATGGAAACAATTGGTGTTCCCATTAACGCAATTCACGTGAAAAAATCAGGTCTTGACTTTGAAACATCACTTGTTCACATAGAAACATTAGTTGGATACGTGAAAACGTCAGAGGATAACATGGAAACATAAGATGTTCACATGAAAACATTAGCTTTTCACATAGAAACATCAGATGGTCATATGGAAACATTAGCCATTCAAATAGAAACATTGGTTCGATACGTGGAAACATCAGATGGTCACATGAAAACATCGGATAGTCACATGGAAACATCAGATGGTCATATGGAAACATCAGATGGTCATGTGGAAACATCAGATGGTCACATGGAAACATCAGATGGTCATATGGAAACATCAGATGGTCACATGGAAACATCAGATGGTCACATGGAAACATCAGATGGTCATATGGAAACATCAGATGGTCATTTGGAAATATCAGATGGTCACATGGAAACATCAGATGGTCACATGGAAACATCAGATGGTCACATGGAAACATCAGATGATCACATGGAAACATCAGATAATCACATGGAAACATCAGATGATTACATGGAAACATTAGATGGTCACATGGAAACATCAGATGGTCACATGGAAACATTAGATGATCACATGGAAACATCAGATGATCACATGGAAACATCAGATGGTTAGATGGAAGCACCAACTGTTCACATGGTCACCAGACACAATTACCCAGGCAAGGGCTAAGCTAAGCTGATGAAATTCTAATGATACAACTTCTCATGGGACACAGAAGTGATGGAGACACCAGGCTTCTGTAAACATTAAAGGCTAAACCTAGTATCTGGGATATGTTTTGCTGTTTGCCACCCTTCCCCTTCTTCTTCGCGTCCACCAGTGTACACTTCGGCAGCAAGGCCTAGTTGTCTGTACAATTATGGATTTTAGTCTAGTTCCAGAATGTGAGTTTTTACATTTTACAACTCGTACAAGTCGGGGATAGGCGTGGCAAAGGGGGCCTGGGGGTCTATTCTTGTTCCCTCCTCTCCCCAAAGAGCACTAGAAACCAGAAATGAAGCTTTGCCAACCAGCGTGTCACTCAGGTCGCTGGAACCTGATAGTCACAGGCGGCAAAAATGGGGGGGGGGGGAAGGGGGGGGGGAGGATGGATAGGCAGACAGACAGACCAAAAAAATAATGGACGGACCGACAGACACAATACCAGATAGACGGAAGGACGGACGGACAGACAGTTATGTTCTAATATGAAAAGTGCCCAATTCAACAAACACATTTAACGAATCAAAACTCTGTGGTAATAAAAACAGAACGCACATGTAACATACAGGTGTTTAATACATGTACAATATTATGACAGGGGCGCCAACGCAAAAGAAACAAGAGGTTCAAGGCTCTGGCCCCTGGTAATTTCCTTGAGGTCAGGAGGGCTTCAACCATGTAAGCCATACATAGGTGGGCAACAATAATATTAACAAATAATAATAATTATTATTGTTTGCTAAACTGCAAAATAAATGTAACAATATATCTGAAATAATATAAAATATGAAAGCCAATAATTTAAAAGAGAAGGCGTCAATACAAGCGTGGGGTAGGGGCACTTAACCACTGGAAATTTGATTAGAGAGGGAAGGCGCAAAGCTTACGCCTGAAATTATCTGGGAGAGGGGAAGAGGGGGTGCGGCGTTATTAAAACCCTAGGTTACAGTACCCTGTACTTATGTGGTGGTTTACTAAGTCCTTAATCATGCACCGTTGGCCACACATTTTTGTTTGACACAACTTGCATCCCTCGCCCTGTGCTTGTGTGGTGGTTTACTAAGCCCTTAATCATGCGCCGTTGGCCACACATTTTTGTTTGACACAACTTGCATCCCTCGCCCTGTGCTGCACGTGTTGACTTGTTGTTACCATCCGTCAAGGCTCGATTTTTTTCTCAGGTAATTACGCAGTTAAACAAGACTGATCCCCTAAGCTCTCATAGTAATTTGCTCCCCCATGTTATGTTTCAGTGGCCGCCCCTGGTGCTAGGTACTGGCTGAATTTAAAAAAAAAAAAACCGCTGATACACACACACACACACACACACACACACACACATAACTGATGTTACAGGATATAAACTTTATATGCAGTGCTATACATACTTATATTTACACTAAATTATACATGAAATCTATTTACATTTAAGTAAATACACAATAAAAACACGTTAGAGTTTTGTACAGAAAACAGAGGATAGTAGATAATTTATAAGTTCGGATGTGTGAAAAACAGTCGTTGCAGTTTCATCAGTAATATTTGTGGTTTCATCAGTAAGTGCTGAAGTTTCATCAGTATTTTTTTGGTTTTCATCAGTAATTTTTGGAGTTTCATCAGTAATTTTTGGGTTTTCAACAGTAATTTTTGGAGTTTCATCAGTAGTTTTTTAAGTTTAATCAGCAATTTTAGGAGTTTCATCAGTAAGGTTTTGAGTTTCATTAGTAATTTGAGTGATTTCAGTAACTGTTTGGGTGTCTTTAATAACTATTAGAGTAACCTCTGTAATTGTTAGAGTAACCTCAGTAACTGCTGGAGAGTCTTCAGTATCTCTTCAAGTCTCCTCAGACTGTTAAAGTGTCTTCAGTATTTTGACGTGTCTTCTTAGCAACTGTTAGAGTGACCTCACTAGCTGCTGGTGTATTTTAGGTAACTTTTGGAGTGTCTCTAGTAACTGTTAGAGTTTCCTCAGTGATCTTAGTTACTTCAGTAACTGTTGGAGTTTCCTCGGTAATTTTAAAGTTACTTTATTAGCTGTTGGAGTTTCTTCTGTAATGGACTGGATTTTGTTCAAGTGTTGAAAGGTGAAATAGTTTATCAACGTAGCTCCCTCAGTACATATTCACATTTATTCCATCTTGACTGCAGCACATTTCTTACATTCTGACTGTAGCACATTTCTTCCATCCTGACTGCAGCACATATCTTCCACCCTGACTACAGCACATTTCTTCCATCCTGGCTTGCTTCACACATATATAGTTAATCATCACTGGAATCAAATCAACCCTGCTTGCTTCACATATATATCTATTTAATCATCACTGGAATCATCTGAGTTGCTGCTCTCTCCTTCACTGTGATCCTCAGAACTATATTCTACAGATCTGGCTGAGCTACTAGTCCCTGTGGTGGAGTTTTTGCTGCATCCGCAGCCATCCACTAAACCTGGCCTCTTGCTTGTCTTTCTCCTGCTCTCGTCACTGTCACTGCCGCCCATAATTCGGTTTCTCGCCAATTTTGTTGTCACTATAATCTAAGGAAACAAACAAAGAATACACTTGTGTTAACACAACAGTTAGTGTGACATTCTTTACTGGTCCTCGCAAACTCAAAGCAGAATGTGTTGTCTGTTGTGTGGGTTTTGACGCTGGATGGGCTGAAAACGATGACATGGAGAATATCAAGAGAGCTGTTCCAGACAACCAGGAATCTTGACCTGTGAAGATGCGGGAGCGCCTATGCCAGTTGGCAGAGCACGTGATCATGATGATGATGTGTTTACTTCGTAATGCTCAGTTCAGTAGTTAGCCAGAGCTTTCCTAAGGTTTCATGTTTACACCGTTGTCGCAATCAACACAACACTACTTGCAACCAAATGACAACGAATTTGACATTTATATGTCAAAATTATGAAACAGTTCAGAGCTTCTGAGGCTCAAAAACAAATATATGCAGAAAAATAATACATTGAGGCCACTGTTTTTTAGGGGGGTGGGGGGGGGGGGGAAATCAAGACTTTTAAAGTATAACAACAATGCCCAGTGAATCATTACACAAATGGGTTATAAACACTAGGAATTTTTTGGCAGAGAAATACTATAAAGAACAACACACATTATAAGGTCACTAATAATATATATAAGCGGCGTCCGTGGCTAAGGCGTTGCGAGTCCGACTCGTAAGCCAGCATACCGCGATCGAAACCCACTGCAGGCTGCGTGGATTTTTGTCGTGGTATGGGGCGTCGCAGGTCGACCCAGCCTAAAATGGGTACCAGGATGGGCTGTCCTGGGAAAGTAAAGACAGCCGGCGTAATGCTGACCACATTACCCACAGAGTGCTGATGGTCTGTAAAAATATGGGACGCTCTGCCCATGTGCCCGATGCGCCGAAAGGCGTGAAAGGCTACGAATATAGCCAGTATTACAGGTCATCAAAGAACAACAAATGAAGTGGTTTGGACACCTAACAGCAAAATAATATATATTTAATTAAAAAACAACACCCTGAGACAAACAGAGGAATTTAAGTATTTGAGAGCAATTTTTACATCCGATGGAAAACTGAACAGAGAAATTAGCGCCAGATGTGCCAAAGCTAATCAAGTAATGCGTCAACTATCTCCCCTGTTGACACAGAAGCAGATACCTCGGGGTACTAAAGTAAATCTTATAAGAACTATTTTTTGGCCAACACTATGCTATCAATGCCAAACGTGGACACTTACATCCTCCAATGAACGTAAAATTGTGACAACAGAGATGAAATGCCTTAGCAGAGCTGCAGGAGTTTCAAGGAAAGACAGAATACGAAATCATGAAATCAGACGAATGCTACGAATATAGCCAGTATTACAGGTCATCAAAGAACAACAAATGAAGTGGTTTGGACACCTAACAAGAATGCCCTAGTACTATCCACAACAGCAAGTCACACTAAAACGTTACAACGGGTATAGAGCGAGTGGAAGACCTCGGAAAATATAGAGTGATGGCATTAGGAACAGCCTTACAGAAATGAAAATCAGTCTTAATAGTGCTCTTGACAGAGCTTATCAACCAACATTACATCCCCCCCCCCCCCTCCCGACACTGCGATGAGGTAAAAGGAGGAGAAGAAGAAGAACTAATAATATATTTTATTCCATTTTATTTCTTTACATTTGTTCCCCCAAAATATAAAGGGACAATCAATGAATAAGAAACAAGAAAAAAAAAAAAAAAGCGCAATGCATTCAATGGAATACCTTATCGGGGCCTAAAAAGTGTATCTGGTGGCTAGTGTTGTGACCTCATCACCTTTATCACTGAGGCTTACGGGAAAACTTGACTTTAAAAAAATCTTTGAAACCCTTCTAAATTCTTTTTGTTGTTTCTATATTCATACCCTGGCCTGTTAGTCACCATGCAGGCGCAGACAGGACCATTGGAAATCAACCAAAAGTTTTAAGAACACGTCACTGCTTACAGGCCGATATGTTGGCATTTACGGGACTGTGTCACAAGCGGAAGTGACAAGATTCAGTCTTCTCGAGGCAACAGGGTTACTGAGAATTATTCTGCATTAAAGCCGCTGTCGTTTTGTTTAAAACAATTCCTCCTCCATACTTGATGTTGGCCTAATCTTTTCATTAGTGACTAAGTGGTTACTGTGTGGTAAGGATCCATCTCTTCCATGGTGAGAATCTCCTACCACTACCTTAAGGCCGCAAGAACAGTCTCTTTATAAAATGTCCACCATAGGTCTAGAGTCCCGGTAAACGTCAAGGATTAAATCGTTATTTCGCTATCACTAAGCTATGGGAAGTAATGATAGTCTGAATATACTTTTTCTATCCACGGAGGCCTTTCGAATATAGGGTGCTAGTTAACTGTGCATGCAAGTCAGCACTGGATGAGCCACGAGGTCGCAATCATGGCGGCCACCTGACTTCCGGGAGTCATTACCGGTTCTGATTTTAGGCGAAATACTTGTGGGAGCAGACAATCAATGTCCCGGCACAGGAGGATTTTAAAGAAAACCCTGCACGGTGGACAGGCACGCGTTTGGCGCAATGCGCACGTCAGGCCACCAGTTAGACGTGTTAGAGTTTTGATTAAGGTTCTCCAGTCATTTTCTGGTTTTGTAAATGCGTCTGGCATTTTAGAGCCGACACATGTGTCGACAACATAAGGCTATTAATAATAACTACCGGGATCTGAGACTTATTATAAAATACCATTATAAAGACATCAAAGCATTTTCATTCCAACATTAAGCTACCAGTGCCAGTCATGGACACTATCTGAAGCCCATGTACGCAAAATCACCACTTGTGAGATAAGATGCCTGAGAAAATCAGCCAACCTAACCAACCGAGATCGAGTGAATAATGATACTATCAGACAAATTGCAGGAACGACATCTTGTAAAAGATTCAATGAGAAACAGCAGATCAAGTGGTCTGACCATCTCTTTAGAACGGAGCACGATCAAATACCTTCCAGGCACTACATCTCAAAAGATCAGCTGCAAGAGGACGGCCACGAAACATGGATTGACAAATTTAAAGACACTCTATGCCTTCACTGCATGGCAATAGCCAGTGGCAACCAGCGTGCATAGGATCGCAAATTATTCCTATCCACGTCGATTATCGGCAGAAGTGGTTTATGATGACACTGATAAAAGAAGTATTAAATAGATACATAGGTGTAAAAGTAAAGTAAAGGACATTTTTAAACGCTTTAAGGCGTATAGGGCTAGACCTAAATTTTAAACAAGATGTGTGATTTGGTCAGCATCACATCGGCCGCCTTTACTTTCCGGGACTGTACCCGGTACCCACTCAAGGCTAGGTTAACATGGTAGCCAAGGTCATTTTTGAAAAAAGTCCGACTTTGCCAGTGAGCGAACCCACGACCTTCCGATCAGCGGCGAGCGTCTAGCCGCTCCGCCAAGGCAACTCCCAGTTACACTCAGGTTTTATAATTTCACGTGTGACACCGTCTGACCGTCAGGCTTAAACCGGTGCGTGCAAGAGAGTAAGACTGCGAGACTGCTCTGTTTACTCGGCTTGTGTGCGAGTTGGCGCCTGTCCTGATGTAGACCCTCCAACAGAACGTTGTTTGTGTTATAGTATGACCAACTGAAATCGGTTGTCCCAGTGTAACCGTAAGTGATGACGTTCCTATCCACAAGTAAACCATCCTGATGACAAAGAGTTGAATCTGGCTCTCAAACAGAAGTTCGGAGAAACTGGTCGTGTTGACAAAAAGAACATCTTCTGGCCAACCAAGAACATCAGAGGAGGATGTGATTGGTACAAATAATACATTCCATTTTCTAGAATCTGTTTTATTTCAGCTTGACGGTCACACCAGGGCACATACAATTACTCCTCACGTAGAAATTCATTAACAAAAAAAAAAAAAAAAAAAGACAGTTTAAAATATGGAGCTTCATTTTCGACAACCCTGCACTAATTGACAGCGATGAGAACTGGATATTAGTCAGAAAACGTTTCCACACATTTAAACTGACGAATCAGAAACTTGCAACTGTTATATGTCCTTCTGGACAATACGTTTTAAGCAAGGCTGTTGATAATGCACTAGCTGATACCTGTTTGTTTGTGCGTGCGCGTGTGTGTGTGCGCCTGTTTTATATATGGCTATAAACTCGGGATTTCCATCGCTGTACAGCTAGGATTTCTATCGTTGCAGAACTAGGATTTCTGTCGCTGTACAAGTAAGAATTATACCTTTACCAATAGACCATGTGTATGTATCTCCTGGCAAGCTGCAGTATTATCGTCATCATACCATATGCTCAACTCAGTGGCTGGGCGACAGAACTATATCTTTTCAGTCCACATATGGGGACATTATTGAACCAAGAACTGACATCACTGCCCTAGGAACATCCCCATACGTGCTCCGTCCCATTCTCAGTAATGTTGACATGCTAATGGTACCAACTGCAAAATGATTAAAAGTCCGCCTTTGTTTCCCCTTCAATGTTGAATATTTTCCAGAGCCTCTAATCATTCCCTTGTGATTAAGTCTTTCATTGTATGGATTCCCTATCTGTTTTTTTTTTTTAAACACTGTCTGTTTTTATCCCATAGAGCCTTCCCCACATCCGCTTTCACAATAGCTCACCGCCCAGATGGGCAGCAGCAGCTAAGCTATCAGCCTGCTCATAACCTCGCATGGGGGAAAATGCAACAGTCAAAAGCAAACACGTACCGTGGCTTTGCACAGTTGATGTTAATACTGATACTGTATGAGCAGACTGTCGGCTCTGTGGCTAAGTCGATGCGAACGCTTCGTAATGCCCGGATGCCGGGTTCGATCCCAGCTGCGGGCCATGCGCTTTCCGTTGGTTTCGACAGTGGTATCAAGAAAGCCGACCGTCCAGTAGCAATGGCAAACTACTGGACGTTAATTTGCCTAGAAAAATCCACACAACAACCAGGGGCTGTTGGGGTTGGTTCTGCAACGTACTGTAAAGGATACGCAACATAACCTTTAATGAGCAGACTGCTTACCTTAAAACCGGAGCTTGTGACCATATTGTTAGATCGAAAGAATATTGTAAAACTGCTGAGGGCAGGAAGCGTGTACTCTAACAACATGCCAGGGGTCAGGCATCCACAGAATCTGCGCCCGTTGAGACAGAGGGAATCGTGTCCACAAAGCGGGGATTTCTCCACATCAAAATGGCTGCGGAAAATATATCGGTGAAATATGACAGATCAGGACGTTCCTTTTGTGAATCAATGCGGTTTGTAACTAAATATATATGACCCTCTTCCACACCTGTAGGTGAACTGTGCACATAGGGCTTGAACTATATTTTATAGAGTTATCGTCACTCGGTGTGTGATGTGGTCGGCATCACGTCAGAGCCTTCACTTAACATGATTTAAAATGTTTCAATTTAGAATTGGGCAGCCCAAGGTCATGAATGAAAAAAATCTAGTTTTGAAACCTCGACTTTGGGATCGGTAGGTCAGCGTCTAGTCGCTACACCCACAGTGCTTTCTTGTAATAGTCTACACCTTTGATTTTAATGTGTAAATAGACAATGGAGCTTATGACAGACTACTTTCTTCTTTATTTCCTCTTTTACCGATTGGGTGGTCGATGGAGGTGGTGTTTTGGGTTGTATTCTGGCAGTCTCGTCTACACTTGATATGGTTGAAGAGTCTTTAATGTTATCGTCCCACCTTATTCTTGGTCTACTTCGGCTGATGCGTAGCTGTCCACATTTTGTCTGTCTAGTATTGTCTGGCATCACATGTCCACATTTGGTATGTCTAGTATTTTCTGGCATCACATGTCCACATTTTGTATAAGTCTAGTATTGTCTGGCATCACATGTCTACATTTTTTATAAGTCTAGTATTGTCTGGCATCACATGTCCACATTTTGTATGTCTAGTATTGTTTTGGGTTGTATTCTGGCAGTCTCGTCTACACTTGATATGGTTGCAGAGTCTTTAATGTTATCGTCCTACCTTATTCTTGGTCTACTTCGGCTGATGCGTAGCTGTCCACATTTTGTCTGTCTAGTATTGTCTGGCATCACATGTCCACATTTTGTATAAGTCTAGTATTGTCTGGCATCACATGTCCACATTTTGTATAAGTCTAGTATTGTCTGGCATCACATGTCCACATTTTGTATAAGTCTAGTATTGTCTGGCATCACATGTCCACATTTTGTATAAGTCTAGTATTGCCTGGCATCACGTGTCCACATTTTGTATAAGTCTAGTATTTTCTGGCATCACATGTCCACATTTTGTATAAGTCTAGTATTTTGTGGCATCACATGTCCACATTTTGAATAAGTCTAGTATTGTCTGGCATCACATGTCCACATTTTGTATAAGTCTAGTATTGTCTGGCATCACATGTCCACATTTTGTATAAGTCTAGTATTTTGTGGCATCACATGTCCACATTTTGTATAAGTCTAGTATTTTGTGGCATCACATGTCCACATTTTGTATAAGTCTAGTATTTTGTGGCATCACATGTCCACATTTTGTATAAGTCTAGTATTTTGTGGCATCACATGTCCACATTTTGTATAAGTCTAGTATTTTGTGGCATCACATGTCCACATTTTGTATAAGTCTAGTATTTTGTGGCATCACATGTCCACATTTTGTATAAGTCTAGTATTGTCTGGCATCACATGTCCACATTTTGTATAAGTCTAGTATTGTCTGGCATCACATGTCCACATTTTGTATAAGTCTAGTATTGTGTGGCATCACATGTCCACATTTTGTATAAGTCTAGTATTGTGTGGCATCACATGTCCACATTTTGTATAAGTCTAGTATTTTGTGGCATCACATGTCCACATTTTGTATAAGTCTAGTATTTTGTGGCATCACATGTCCACATTTTGTATAAGTCTAGTATTTTGTGGCATCACATGTCCACATTTTGTATAAGTCTAGTATTTTGTGGCATCACATGTCCACGTTTTGTATAAGTCTAGTATTGTCTGGCATCACATGTCCACATTTTGTATAAGTCTAGTATTGCCTGGCATCACGTGTCTACATTTTGTATAAGTCTAGTATTTTGTGGCATCACATCTCTACATTTTGTGTAAGTTTAGTATTGTCTGTTTAGTATTGTCACATTTTTTGTCCAGACAATACTAAAGTTATACTAAAGGTGAAGATGTGATGCCAGAAAATACTTATTTTCTGGCATCACATCTTCACATTTCGTATAGGTCTTGTATTGTCTGGCATCACATCTTCACATTTCGTAAAACTCTAGTATTGTCTGGCATCAAATGGTATTCGCTTATGAAGTAACTATATATAAAGTCTAAAACAGTTCGTTCAGGAAATGATAGGAACTGCCGTTGCTTGCAACCTGATGATGAAACGGTGTAACCGGGGCGCCGGTAAAGAGATGATGCGCAAGAACATGGGGGAGAAAGACGGGAAAAGGAAGAAAAACACAAGCAGAAGACAAAGAACGAAAAAAAAAATTTTTTTTTAAAGGGTAACAAACTGTTCACGTAGGATAACTATACATTCGGCCAAATTCTACACAGAAAAAGAGGAAGGTGATGACCATTGTCACGGTTATGGTCTGCTAATCGCCCCTGACCACAATGTCATAGCGACTTGTCATTACCTGAACAGAAATGACAAGACCAGCCGTTGAGGTCCTGACTGTAGAACAAAGGTACAGTTGCTGTTGTTGCTGTAGTTGCCCCTGCCAAAGAACGGAGTCTTGATGGTGAACTCCCCACAGGAAGCGTTGACTCTGATCACCCGATAGCCGGTACGGGCGCACGTTGTGCAGATTTCGCCGCTCTGTCAAATAAAACAGTCTATGACAGATGTCAACGTTCTGTGAAATACAATACTATTTTTAAATATTTACTTTATTTTTATGATCCTTAGTTGAGAAGAATGGGTAATGGTTGGCCGGCACCCTTCCGTCTGTCCTCGCGACAGAGTACCGCTGTACTACAGGGCGCATGGGAGTTATAGCCCTTGGTGGTACCAGTGAGCACACATACTGGACAGTATTGTAGAGATCCTGTGTTTTCTATTCAACATGATCCGTTGCTCGGCCTCCCTTGTTTAACTTCAAAGGAAAGGTAACATCAGTACATCTGGAACAAACAGTGCTACAGAAGCTGTCGGAGCAGAAGAGCACTCCTTTCTGTTTGTTCACCATTTGAGCATGCCTCCTGGACCAAAACAACTAAGGGAAGCAATCAGATAATCGCAGTTGACTGACTGACTGACTTTCTACCCCACCAGGACATCACACAAGCGACAAACACCCGATGACACAAAGTGCCACCATGCGGATGAGGATCACCGTAGAGAGGTCCCAGAAACCGCGTTCAGACAATTGGCCATATTCATGGCCTGCCCATATTGCGGCCCCTGGCAAAAGCCAGAGTGGGGCTTCAAATAACAAAAAATTACGTCCTAAGAACAACATAAGGAATGTGATCGAATCGCAGTTTTGACTTCATAACAAACAGGTCACTCCGTAGTTGCTCAGTTTCTGGGCCAAAAAAAAAAAAAAACCTCACAGAATGTCACATTACATTAAAAAAAAAAAAAAAACCGACACAAATTGCATTCTTAACAAATGCAATAACAATCACGCGTATTAAATAAATGCCTAAAGCAGCAGTTAGAAGTGCCAACACAAACAGTCCAACACTAGAAATGTCGTTCATCGTCGATGAAAGCAGCAATTACAAATCAATAGTTGCACACGTATTTAATTGCTAATGGCGCCACAATTTTCCTGGCAACAGGCCACTCACCATTTACTGAATCTGCAGTTCACCACACTAGCAACTTTGGGCGCTGTCAAAAAGAATTTCAAAGGAAATATAAAGCTCACAGTGTCGTACCATGCACTCAACTCAGTAGACGGGCGACGGAACGAAAGGGAGTAACACCACATGGCTAAGACGACGCACGATATTTAAGCAATGCTGTTAAATATGTTTTTAGCCAGGTTACCGAAAACCTTAACAACACAAATCATAGACAATACACACACAAATGTCTGATGTGAAAGCAAGAGGTCCAGCATCTTTCTCTCTCTCACTCTCACTTTGTCTCTTCAACTTTCTCAATGTCACGATGGATACCAGTTTTCTCCTTCTCGTGACATGACCAAAGAATGTAGAATATCTCCCTCTGATGTGGGTAATCAAGGATCTTCTTGAGACAGTATCTTTCAAGACATCTTCATATGATCATTACGAGACGCACAGGAAAAATAAGAAAAAGCAACAAACAATAATCTAGAAAAATGATACAAACCAAACCATCGCCAACAGCTGGGTCACCATGAAGAGCTACAGCCAGTAGCAGTGATAACGGAAGGTACACAAATGACACCATCTTGAGGACAATTCAGTTCTGTCACCTGATTCTACACTCAGCCTGAAATATCAAAGTAAAGTAAGTAAATGGTCCCTTTCCACGCCTTTAGGTGTATTGGGAATATAGGACTAGATCCATATTTTTATAGACCGATCTTCCCAAGACTGCATCTAGTACCCGCTCAAACCTGGACAGACCTAGGAGCCAAAGTCATTTTTGAAAACAAATCCGGTTCCGTTTGGACTCGAACCCACGCTTCACAACGGCAAGTCCCTATAATCAATATAATAAAAAGCTAGTTACATGGCAACCGAATTGGCCAGAGGCTCTTCTGCTGGCACGTAGGCCAAGGACTCAAATCCAAATCGAGGAGGGTGTTTTTTCAAAACTGACTTTGTTTATCAGGTCAGTCTACCCTAAAATAAACTAGGTAATGACAAGGAAAGTAAAGGCGGCCTGCGTGAAGTTGACCACATCACACAGCCAGTACCGGCTGGTCTATGAAATATACGTCGGTGCTTTCTTTTTTAGCCGACCACAAATGACGTCACGCGACTGTCTAATATTTTAGAGGGTGATAAGAGCCGGTTCGCCGTGATTTAGCCAGTTTTTAACAAGCCCAAGGTTTTCTCGCGTTCACCTACTCCAACCATAACCCGAGTTAGTTGCGTTTCCTTTTCAGGACGTCGCAGAACTAACCTCAGTATGTTTTTTTGGTTGTTGTGATCTTTCTAGGCAAATTTACCTCCAGTAGTTTGACACTATTTTCTGGACGATCGGTTTCATCTATACAACTATCGAAACCGCAGCCGGGATCGAACCCGGCACCCCGGCATTACGAAGCTTGTTTGCAACGCTTAAGCCAAAGACGCCAACATCCTAAGCCCAACCCTAACCTTAACCAAAACTATACGCTTAAACTACCACACCCTGAAATATTTGACTGTCCCGTGACCTGTGGATTTTTCCTCTTTGTGGTCGGCTAACAAGAAAGTACCTATAAGTCTAGCAGAGTGTGATAGATAATCACACTGAACCTGAGAGATATCACCTGCAGACAGACTCCGATGGAGGCAGACAGTGACAGACAGACTGTCGCAGTTTGCAAAAGACAGCATACAACAAGCTACAGTATAGAGGCAAGCTATCTGTGAGAACACCAGCCTCAGTTTAACAGCAACGTTTTTTTTTTTTTTAATGTGGACTATGTCATATAGACCAAAGAATGAACAGCCTTAAAAGTCTTCGGTTGAGCACCAGCAAGGAAATCGAAATTTGAATTTTGAGAACATGCATCTTTCCTGTGGCTACATACGAATGTAAGTCGTGGATTATTTCTTAGTCCTTAAGAAAGAGAATAGAGGCTTCTGAGCTAAAATGCTATAAAAAGGTTTTCAGGATATCTTGGACAAAGAAGAGGAGAAATACTGACATCTTGAAAGATCTGAACATCAAGGAAGATTGGCTAATAAACAGCATCCTATCTCGGAAGCTGAAATATTTTGGTCATATCAAGCGCCACGAAGGATTGGAAAAAAATGATAGCAGAAGGCATGGTACCAGGAAGGAGGGGCAGGGGCCGACCGACACGAAGATGGGCATAGGATATAAGTGACTCCTTGAGTATGAGAGTACATGAGGCGGGGGAACCCGAGTTCTTTCAGCCAGACTGTGATGAGAGCGACTTTCTGCAAAGGACCTGCTTGGATGTCAAAGAGACTGCCATTCTCGCATTAGACTTTACGACCATAGCAGACGCGACCCTAAAAACCAGCGGCCTAACTCCTTGGTCCCCGGGGACTGACGGTTGCCTACACGCCAAGAACGATCAAGCACATTCAGTCAGTTCGGGATCATGTACTAGGATCTTCAACTGAATGTATCTCTAAAGTTAGTTGGGATCATTTAAAGGACGTTGCAGAACCAACCCCATCAATTCTGGGCTGTTGTAGTATGTCTGGGCAAATTTACATTTCTTCTTTTGCCACTGCTTCCTAAACGGTCGACTCTTGGTACTACTGCCGAAACCGACGCAAGACGCTCTGTTGCCAAATCGAAGGCACCTGGGATCAAACGCGACACTACGGCACTATGAATCGCGTTCGCAACACCTAAGCCACATACAACTCTCCCTAACTATGTATACAATAAAAGAACTTGGACTCATACTAAGTTGCGTACATATGGTCTTAATGATGTTCAAAGAGGCACTCAACAACTGAATGCCACAGCTATATAACCCAAACAGAGGTCTACGGAACTTTACAAAACTGTCTGTCATACAGCTAGGTCGACTATGTCAGTGATATCAAATATCAGAATATCATCATAAATTGCCTCTTTGGTGTTCATTTGACCCTTGAGATGTTTGTTCTGCACCACATTCGGCTAGGTCGACTATGTCAGTGATATCAAATATCAGAATATCTTCATAAATTGCCTCTTTGGTGTTCATTTGACCCTTGAGATGTTTGTTCTGCACCACATTCGGAACCCCTGCCTGTTACTATTAACCTGAATAAAAATTCAGTTAATTAGTGAAGAGAACAATGGCTTCTGCTAAAGTATGTATTTGTGGCTATGGGATGGAACTGTGTGTGTTCTAAAACACACAGAAATAGTAGATCCAGCAAAACAAGCAAAAATGATTAGCGCACACAAATATTAGTCAGTTGCATTATGACATTATCTAGGTACAAGGCCTGGCCAACCACGACCGTCCTACCACTCTCCATGTATACCAGAAAGTACTTATGTAATAACTGCCATCTAAAAACAACTGGCACTAACGGGGTCACAACAACATCATCATCATCATGAGACAGGTGCGCCGCCACGAAAAAAATAGGTCCCCCCCCCCCTCCCCTCAGGTTACAAATATTCCACTTAAAAGTTAGGGCAGAGCGGAAGGGAGTAAGTGCCCACTCTCCACAATGAGAAAAACTGGGGCAGAGCGGAAAGGATAAGTGCCCACTCTCCACAATGAGAAAAACTGGGGCAGAGTGGAAGGGGGTAAGTGCCCACTCTCCCCAAAGAGAAAAACTGGGGCAGAGTGGAAGGGAGTAAGTGCCCACTCTCCACAATGAGAAAAATTGGGGCAGAGGGGAAAGAATAAGTGCCCACTCTCCGCAATGAGAAAAATTGGGGCAGAGCGGAAAGGATAAGTGCCCACTCTCCACAATGATAAAAATTGGGGCAGAGCGGAAAGAATAAGTGCCCACTCTCCGCAATGAGAAAAAATGGAGCAGAGCCGAAGGGGGTAAGTGCCCACTCTGCACAATGAGAAAAAATGGGGCAGAGCGGAAAGGATAAGTGCCCACTCTCCACAATGAGAAAAATTGGGGCAGAGCGGAAAGGATAAGTGCCCACTCTCCACAGTGAGAAAAAATGGGTCAGAGCCGAAGGGGGTAAGTTCCCACTCTGCACAATGAGAAAAGATGGGGCAGAGCGGA